GCCCCTGAGCGCCGTGTCCCTGTCGCAGCCCGCCCTGCGCTGCCAGCAGTTCTGGGCCATGCTCCTGAAGAAGGCCACGTACAGCTGGCGCGAGTGGAAGCTGGTGGCGGCCCAGGTCGTGGTCCCGCTCACCTGCGTCACCCTGGCCCTGCTGGCCGTCAACTACTCCTCCGAGGTCTTCGACGACCCCCCGCTGAGGCTGAGCCTGGCCGAGTACGGCAGGACCGTGGTGCCCTTCTCCGCGGCGGGGGCCTCGGGCCTGGGCCACCAGCTCTCTGAGCGCTTCAAGGACCTGCTGCAGGCTGCGGGCCAGGAGCCCAGCGAGGTGCTGGGTAAGGGCCCGGCCCGGCCTCTGGGCCCCTTGCCTTGCCCGGCGCCCTAGCTGTGTAGCCCCGGGGCCCAGCCTGACCCACTGGCTCGGGGCCGGCCTGTCCTCGGGGCCGGTCCCGGTGGCCGTCGGGAGCCCTCTTCCAAGGCTGCGGCGCCAGGAGCAGCCACGGCACAGGAGACATCCTGGCCCGGACAGGGCGTGAGCCGTGGGACGCGGGGCCCCTGGCCTGGGGCGCCCCTGGGCTGTGCCCGGGGCCCGCCATGCTGCTGACCCTGCCCTCGCCCCCAGGTGACCTGGAAGAGTTCCTGATTTTCAGGGCCTCCATGGAGGGGGGCGGCTTTAACGAGCGCTACCTGGTGGCGGTGTCCTTCAGAGACGTGGGCAATCAGACAGCCGTCACTGCCCTGTTCAACAACCAGGCCTACCACTCGCCGGCCACCGCGCTGGCCCTCGTGGACAACCTTCTCTTCAAGCTGCTGTGCGGCCCTCAGGCCTCCATCACCGTCTCCAACTACCCCCAGCCCCGGAGCGACCTGCAGGCTGCCAAGGACCAGTTCAATGAGTATGTGCACTGTGCCTCGCCCCGCCCTCCGGGGCCCCCCAGGCCAGACGCCCGCCTAGGGTGCAGGCTGTACGTGGTGGTGTCCTGAGGCGGGGCGCAGGGGGTGGCTGGTCGGCGTCTGGGGTGGGGGTGCAGGTGGCGCCGCCTCCGTGGGGTCAGGCTGCCAGAGGAGGAGCTGGTCTTGGGGCGGCCTCCGGGGACCGGCGCGTGCCCCACGCCGGGCTGTCGCTGAGCTGCTGTGTCCCCGCAGGGGCCGGAAGGGGTTTCACATCGCCCTCAACTTGCTCTTCGCCATGGCCTTACTGGCCAGCACGTTTTCCATACTGGCGGTCAGAGAGAGGGCCGTCCAGGCCAAACACCTGCAGCTCGTCAGCGGGGTCCACGTGGCTGCCTTCTGGCTCTCCGCTCTGCTGTGGGACCTCATCTCCTTCCTGGTCCCCAGCCTGTTGCTGCTGGTGAGGTTTTGGGGTGCAGACTCTGCCTGCCTGGGGGACCCTGAGGGGACCAGGGTGGCCTGTCTCCAGGCGGGTGGCCGGGAGGGGAGGAGCTACCCCCGGCAGCGCTGCTGGGAGAAGCTGCTTCTGGAGTCCGGGCTAAAGCCGCCGCACGGGGCAGACGCAGCCTGTGGCGCCCCTGGACCTGGGTGCTCAGGGAGTCTGGGGTCCAGGCCCTTCACAGC